TTTGTGAAATTGTTTACTGTTTTTTCAAATGCATCAACATGGAACTTTTGTGAGGAATGAAATCAGTAATAGGAACTTTTTAATTTCAGTTCAAAATATAAAAGCCTTTAGTCTTCATGAGCAGGTGTTGAAAGATGTTTTCCATGACGCAATTTTTTCAGACTTTAACCTATTTTCAAGCAATAGTTCTATTATCGGCGTCAGTTGGAAGTTTCAATTTGATCCTGAAATTTTTATACAAACCTTTGAAATACAGAATTGATTTAATCGCGAGGTTCGTCGGTGCATGGAAGACACTATAGGTGGTTTCAGCTGTAAGAAATAAAAAAGTCTACTTCTAATTTATTCCATTTTCGCCAGGCTTCGTTCTAATTAGCCAGAATTTTCCCTCTCTATTCAGTGCTCCTGGTAATTCCTGCTGACAGACTGAGAATTTCGAGATGAATGTATCTCGTATTTCATCATGTGACTTGATTAAAGTGCTTGGGTCCGAGTGGATTGCCACAAAATATTGCTGTAAACATAACATGGTTATGGTTATTGCTAAAATCTCCATAACCATGTCCGCCAGAAAAGCAGGTATGTTACTGGTTAAGCATTCGCGTTTTATTTAATACCAACGCAATTAATTTAACCGCGCGTTGAATCATAAATTTCTGCCGCGCGAATGGGGTAACATCATTTTGCTCTGATTAAAACCTGTGATTTACAACGCCTCTAGATAACCATACAATGATTTATTGTTATAACGCTAGCCTTGGTTTTCGCAAAAAACAATCTTTGTAAATTTTAGCTCAACAAAAAGAAAAGAATATCCATGCCTTTTAGAACCATTGCCTTAAATCCATAGGGACCTAGAACAGAAGGATTAATTACGAAGAATCTGCGAACTTCTGGCACAACTGCAAGGTACATAAGCTACTGTACTGTCTGGTTAAATAAAAGGGAGGAAGAACTGGAGCTCATAGAAATAATTACTGGGCGGTGGAATGAGTCCTTTTACTTACGCCCATATACTCGTGTAAAACCATATCTGTTGTATGTCCGATCCGTTGATTAAATTAGCCCATGCACTGTGGGTATTACGTGAATAAATCAACGCTCACGAAAATAAATACAAGTTTTCTGTGGGTCTTATGTTTCAGCGTTGGAAATTCTGGCTTAGAATGTGGTCATTTTTCCCGTATAAATCATTATTCTGGACCGCAGCGCTGCGGAAGTTGAAACATACAGCGCATTTGCACTTTTCAACAGTAGACTCGCAAAGAAGACAAATTGCATGCAAGACTAAAACGTTGATGACCAAATAAAACGCAGACCACTGGGGATCACCGTGCCATGCTCACACAGATGAGAAGAATGACGTTCAGGAAATTGAATGACGGCTTCACTCCATAGGGAGACGTCGGCAGCGCTGACTTTTCTAAAGATGTTTGAAATTTTCAAGCAAGCGTTCATACATTTGCGCATATAAAAAACAATGCGGGATCTCAACGATTATTATTACGCCTGGAAAGCATTGGCAGAAAAGTGATTCTTGCTGACAAATTTGTCCAGATTCCAGTAAAGAAGGAATAATTTGTTACGTGTTACTTATTTGTATTGGCCGATGAATTTCGATCATGTAATTCATCATTCATATAAGTCGCATAAAAGACTCATACACCAAATCAACTGGGCAAGTTCACTTCTTTAGGAAATTCCTAAGTGATTTGAATTCAATATTTTGCTTTTGATATTACTCCCTTCTGAACTTACTATTAATTATTTTAAAATTTTGAATGAATAATCATTTACTTGGCAATTCACCTTTCCACTAAAAAATTAGCTATTGACTTTTTTCAAATTTATTTCAATCGAATATTTTAGATGCAAATCGTCAATCACGGTTTGATTTAAAAGTAATATAATATAATATAATATAATATAATATAATATAATACGTATAATATAATATAATATACAACATTCAATTAAAAGAAAATGAAGAAAATTATCTTTTAATATTTTTTATCGATAAAGTATATAAATAAACTGTATCCACCGACGCAAAATTTTTTAGCAAAAATTTGTTTTCTCCGAATATGGTTTTTGCATCACACAGCTGCTCAACTTGTTTTATTAAAATATTTTCGGCTGCGTCACTGGAGCAGAAAATTAAAGATCTTGTTGAGGCACCGAGAAAAAAAAAGTTGAAAATATCTGGGTCAAATTAGTTTTTCATGAGTAAAAGAGCCATGCTAAATTTCTTCAAGCAAATCAGCACGAGCAAATCGTGAAATATCACAAAAGATCCATTAATTTGCTTGAAAGACTTTGATTCAAAATAAACTTCGTCTTTATTTACGAGCTAGGATTCTTCATTGACCTCTAAAGAAATATTGCAGCTTTGAATGCAAAATTGCAGGCATTTATTAAGAAATGTCTATTGCGAAATTCGAGTTTGATTTAAAAATTTTCGTCGGTATCGAACAACGAGCGATTAAGACCATTCAAGTTGAAACTAAGATGGGCTGTTTTTTTGTCGTTCTATTTCTCATCGGTCCCAGTAAATGCATGTTAAAATAATATTAATCAAAATTTGTCAGACTTATTCGATGAATTTCCTAACCGATCTAAGTAAGAAAAACTAATAATTTTGGTGCAGTCGAATTTTTTCCGATCCCATGTCGTCGCGAGCTCATTTTTTCAGTATCACGACAGATTTTTGTGTCTGCGATGACAGCAAAAAATGATAGGATGGGCATTGTCAGCTCTTCAGCTGAAAACAATCTTTTGTCAGAGGACATTTTGTCTAAGAAACTGGCGCTTGATATTTTTACATGAAGGCCCTGTCGGCAATTTTTGATACGTCGCCGACGCAGTTTCTTGACCGACACATAAGAAGGCCTGCTCTTCTTCCATGCCTCATTATTTTGCGGATAATGAGTTTTAAAAAGACAGTTCATGCATATAAATAAATTAATTATCTATGTTAATGTTACTTTTGATGTATATAAATAGAAAAAGTGTTGATGATAAATTAAGTATATTATTATCAAAGAACGGACAATACAGTTACCGTAAAAATACCACTATAATAGGAAGCATTTTTCTCCTGAGTTTTCGAACTTATTAAGAACTTCCTACGTGCAACAGAACAGCTGAGGGTTTCAAGACTTCGTTGGTTATAACTTTTGTTAATTCGCCTAAATTACGGGTAAATGTTAACAGGGATTAAAACGCTCAATTTTTTCGCTTTATGATAGCAGGAAAAAAAGGTATGGCCGCTAAATGTCTTGGTTTGATTTTACATATTTGTCTTATTATTTTTGATTTATTAATAAAATAATAAATAATTGGATTTATGGTTGATTGTACCTGTGAAGAAAACGTACACAGTTTTTATCCAATTATTTCACACCTAAATTTTTGCTAAATAAAGCAACATTTTTGAGTGCGCGTCTATGCTTCGGACCTTTTCGATAATTGATTGATTATAATTTATAGATAGTAGTCCATTTTCCAAAATTTAGTTTAGGGAGACAAAATAAATTAAATAAATCTGAAACTTCATGATAATTTTGTAACACTTATTTCAAGAAAATGATTTCTGATTTCATATTTATTCAAAAACAGTAAATTTAAATTATAATATTTGTCATTGGCGGCTTTGGAGGGTTTTATAAAAATAGAATTAATAATCATCACAGATTCGTCCATTAAAGCCAGTTTTAACTTAAAATTGTGATTATAGAATTTCAGTTATTATCAAATCATTATTCAATCTTGAATTAAGGCAATTTATTCCTTTCGTATTACTCCAACAGATACGCCATACCATTTATAGTCTCCATCGTCATCCAACTAAAAACTTTGGTGCGCTTTCGTAGCGCTCTGATGTCGGACTGCGGCTCCAGTAGTAACACAGATGTGCCTAATGTCGGGAACAGGCGAGTATTGTAGGTAACTTTGGACGGTAAAAATATATTCTCTGGTAACATTAAACATGCACTGCTGAAAGGAATGTACACATTCATTTTGGAAGCATGGTTGAAAGCTCACGAATCAAAAGGGAGTTTAGGTTAGGCAGCGAAAATATTTGAATAAACACGGGAACTTCAGTATAAGTGGAAACTCGAATAATGTTGATGACATTAGGTTATGAATAACTAGAATAACCCTTTACTGTGTGTACAATGGCTGGTGTTGGGTATACACAAGCCTATTATATGTACTCAATACTGAAATATACTTCCTAGAAAAAATTCATTTAGGATTCTCGGTAGTCTTTCAAATGTCTTTAATTCTGGAGACAAATTTTTCCTTCTTTAGGTTAAATTCTATGAGCTTCGAGTTATTTTAGATTGTTATTTTCTTTGGAATCGTCCTTGTTTTCGGAAATTATCGTGGACGTTTGTAAAATTCTTTGCTTCTGTGGAGAATTTAAAAAAAATGACAACTACGTCTCAGGGTTGAGTTGCCTAAGATTGAGAGAAGGGATTCAACTAATAAAATTCATGCTACTCTTTGATAATAGAAATTACTTTTATTTTCGAGGCCCATTTCGTTGGAGAGAATTGAAATGAATGAAGAATGGAATGAATATACCATCAGAGAATTTTCGCTTCCGCCCCACAAATGCTACAGCGAACAAAATTAAAACAGGTTTCACATATTCAACTTCGATTCGAATTTTCTTAATAATTAGATTGTAATAATTCAAATAAAAACACGCGTCTTTGCAGCCCAAATGCATCCGAGGCAGACGAAGATCCTATCTACGCCAGCATTTCGGACGATGGTCAAATAGAGCCTACCGACGACAAGCAGCGCGGCCTGCGGAACGGAGCAAAAATACCATTAACCCGGAAACTTCCCGTAACTACGGCCCCTTTTTCACAGAACTCAACAGATAAAACAGTGAAGAAGGTTCTGAGTTCCAGGAAAAACATTGGTCTCTTAGACAAGAGACGGTGCGCTGTACAGCTGAGTCTGCAGAGACACCTGCTGGGGCTCACAGTCTTGTACGCCGCATGTCTCTGTCCTCTGATGGTGTTCAGGTGAGACTGCAGTAAATGTCTCTGTCCTCTGATGGTGTTCAGGTGAGACTGCAGTGAATGTCTCTGTCCTCTGATGGTGTTCAAGTGAGACTGCAGTGAATGTCTCTGTTGATGGTGTTCAAGTGAGACTGCAGTGAATGTCTCTGTTCTTTGAAGGTGTTTAGGTGAGACTGCAGTGAATGTCTCTGTCCTCTGATGGTGTTCAAGTGGGACTGCTGTGAATGTCTCTGTTCTTTGAAGGTGTTTAGGTGAGATTACAGTGAATGTCTCTGTCCTCTGATGGTGTTCAGGTGGGACTATAGCTAGGAATTTGAATTAATATTTAAATATAATGGATAATACCATTTTTTAATGTGGTGGTCCCAGTTACTACTTCTTATAGTGCATTGGCCCTAGCAATTTTTCGTGAAAATTGTAATTGAGGCATAGAAGTTTGAGAATTTTATACATCAGAGCGTCAAATTCACAGTGAACTTTATAAAAGTTCTGCATCCGTAATTCAATCGGATCACATTTCTGGAAGAAAAATACTATTGCTATAAATAATCCTAGTGCAGGTGTTATTATTATTTGGAAATACACATGTTACAAGCCCAGCAATTTAAGTGCGGTCATTTTAATGTGTTTGTAAAAATACGTTGTTTTACATGAAAAATTTGCTCGTGATTACCAGACTTTTGCGAAGCCTTGGCCAGGAGCAGCTGGATGCTCATCAGCTGGAATTGATGCTGGTCAGCATAGTTCTGATAGCTATTCTGCCCACCATCAGCACGCCAGCGCTGCTGTTATCAGCACATCGGAACATGTCAGTATTTTCATATTTTTATTTGAAAATAAAGTGTGTTGGTCAGCATAGTTCTGATAGCTATTCTGCCCACCATCAGCACGCCAGCCCTGCTGTTATCAGCACATCGAAACATGTTAGTTATTTTATTTTAAATTCGAGCGTGAATTGCACGTAAAGAAATCTGCTCGTTGGTCTGAGTGAACAATACAGATAATATCAAACTGAATTATCTTTTTTATGAGAATAAAAGGTAGAATTATGACGTGCGGAACCTATTCAAAACTATTAACCAATTTTTTGTCTGAAATAACTATTTCCCTCAATGCTTTTACAATCTAGGAATATTTTAAAAATTTTGCATATTAGTTTTTCCACCGATCACATTTCAGAAACATGAAATATCTAAACAATCATAAAATTCATCAACAGATCAATAGAAGATTTGCATTACGGCTCAGGAATGAAGATCGCAGTGGCATGTTTAACACAGAACCCGACGTATCAGTCCGCATCTCTTACTGGAGTCACGATTCCGGCCAACGACTCCGGCTTGACGAATTCTTCGCATTTTCGCCCAACTTGCCCATACCATCTGGACGTGGGTTCATCCATTCAATCAATGTCGCGTACGCCTTCGCCCCGGCAGTATAGGCAGGACAGTCGAAAGTTCGGTCACAAACCGCCAATTATTTCTGGTGGATCCCCTGTAATTTTCGCTCATACTAAGAATGAACAAAGGCATTCATCATGGCATACAAGCGGACACGGTTTTGAGGAACGCCACAGTTTGAGTGTTTCTCCGCCAGGGAGTTTCATATTAAGCCACAAAGCCACCAACAATGGCAGTCACTCATGCTCAAAACGGGAACTTGATGACAGGATAACTCGAAGTTCCCTTTCGTCTTCACCGCGGTACCACGACGCGAAGAGACTTTCGTTGTCACATTCGTATACTGCTTCCTTATCTCCTATGCCGGTGAGCCGCTCTGTCGCGAGGAGAAAACGCTCCTACGATCCTCCTCGATCTCCCATCCACCTCACTTTGTCAGCGCTTGGCAGAGATACACTCGTGTCGCATTCTTATAACAACCTGCAGAGCTCGTCTCATTTCTCACATGATATTGCAAGCGGGCCTGTGGAGCTAAATTATAGTAATTTAGACTCGTCTCTCACGCCCACTGCATTCAGCTACCATCCGCCGGATACGCGAGTGTCTCCTTTGCTGTACTCTCAGTGCCACAGCCGACGATATGAAGGGAATCTTGACAACGCATATCTTACTTCTGCTTCTCAGTCGAGGATTTAGTCGCGAGATCTGCTACTAAAAGTGTCTTTAATTCAATGAATTAGCCGCGAGAGTGTTGCTTTGCATGATAAAGCACTGGCGTGTGGAGTGCGTGAGCACTGTGAATTCAAACAGGAATTCATATAACAGAAATTTCAAATGTTTCGTGAGGCATTGTTTGGGTTTGAATTGAATGACGTTAAGGTCAGAAAGATGAAGTTTATGTGGTTGAGATTAGGTGGTATCGCAGAATTTCTTAAAAGCAGATCGTTGTGCAGTGCTCCTTGAAGAATCTCAACCTTTAAAAAATGATCTCATTTATCCTACTAGATTGATTATCCAAATTTTCTCTTATTCATGAAAAATTCGATCTAAAAGCAAATATGGCGTGCAGTAAGGACGACATTAGGTTTTGCGTTTTCCTTAAGTGTGCTAAGGAAAAAAGGATTCAGGACTCTTATTATTATTAAATAATAATATTATTATTATATTATTAAATTCAAGTTATTATTTTTGAATTAAGCTGCCTGCAATTGCCCAAATTCCCATAATATCGTATGAATCTCCCATTGCTTTCAATTTACATTAAATGAAATTTTGCTGACAAATGTCCATGCACGTTTGCCCAAGCACCTCCACGAAGTTAACATGCTCATTACTAACATTTGTCGCTTTTCACCGGCGGAAGTCTCACTCGCAAGGTCATCAAACCAACGCCTTGAGAGAAAAAATCCAGAGCTGTTACACAAATGGATTTTTTCACCCTCAATTGAATAACTTCATTCTTCAGGAACACTCCAGGTGATGGCGATAAATGCCGGAAATTTTCCCTTCGATTTTTTCACATTATTTAAGCGCCATTAAATCGGCGCCCCACTTTTTCACAGCTCTGTTGCCCTAAGATGCTAGGATCTCTCTCAAGGTCACTGCTATTTACTCTGACAGGTTTCTCATTTGACAGCATTAGCCTGAAGTTTGCTGAAAAATTTAGGGTTTATGCCCGAGAAGCAATTTAATGCGAAGCCCAGGATCTCGTTCGTCAAGATGTGGAGATAAGCTAGAATATCGAGGGATTTCTATCCAACTAATTTTAATTTTAATCAATACAATGAAAAGCAATTAGCTTTTGAGTAGACCTTAGTTGTACTGAAAAATTGCAAGTAATACGGACTGCAGACAATTCATTTTTGTGAGGAATTGTCAACAATATTTACCAAGTAGAAGAGATCAAATTAATTCTCTGCTAATGCCTGGGTTTTAAAAAACCTTCAAATTTTTGTATCGCATAATTCGTGATTACAACAATTGTAATGTTATGCAGGAATTATACATTTAAATAATGGTTTCATGATAATTGTGCGGTGTGACCAATTTATTTTGCAACTATTAGCTGCGAAAGTCATGGGATCCACTTTTTCAAACAGCATTGTGAATAAATGTGCATGTAAATAAATGTGAAAGTGGATAAATGTGAAGGTGGAGAAATGTGAAAGTTGAACCTAATTGACGATTCTACTAAACTTAATGTTACTGAATTCACTGTTATTTAAAGTCTTTTGAAGACCTGGGCAGAGATTAACGAAACTTCGCCAAGTACACGTAACTTTTCGTACTTGCGTTCAAAAAGTTACGTATTGCCTAAGTCAGTCAAAATTTGGCATTAACAAAACTGTCTTACGCAAGACTCATTTGAAAAGGTATTATCGAAACCATCCAACTAACTGACCAATCAGAGGCTTCGAATTTGCCATTCCTAGCTCCTGTGAGTCCTGTCGACTCAGTGCGCAGTGCGCGTGGATGAAAGGAGGTTGTATTGTGTCAGCGTCATCTGCGTTGACTGACTAGGAAGCATATGGAGAAATCAGTGAGACGTTGTCTAAATAGCAATGACAACGCCTTGATTGTAAATTTTTGCAATCAAGGCAAAAAATTACATTTTTCCCATTCAAAATTTGAGGACTTTTCAGAGAGCTACCTAGAATTTAGAACATTTTGGGAGTTGGAGTTCAACTATCAGGGGAGAAAGAAAGGAATTTGTGCACGTAGCTCGAAAAATGGTTGGCTTGTCAAACTCCACTTAGTTTTGAATCAAAATGTCATGAAGACATTATTTTAGTGAATGATCATAAAACTCTTAGATACGAATATCAAGATTTGCTTGCAAATTATAGCACAAAAGGAAAAGAAATTAGCTGGCATAACTTAATTGAAATTTTTTTCTCAAAAAGCACCGTTTAGCACGATCACATATCATGCCTATGTTGAATTATTGACAAAATTCTATCACAATTCACCGTGTTGCAAGTAAATCAATAGTTTTATATTGCTTCGGCACACTCAAAATGTCTACGTAACTTCACTTACGACACCTCCGAGCAGGCGTAGAGCTACGTACGGCTTCTTGTACGTAGCTTCCCGCGCAAATGTTTTGATAATACCACCGCTAGAGTTACTTCTTCATATCAGCACTTACGCCACACGTAAGTCGCTACGTGTACTTAGCGATGTTTTGATAATCCGGCCCCAGATAAAGTGTACCTGCAAAGACAGGTAAATAATATAAAATTATAATAAAATAATATAATATAATTCTATAGTATAATATTGAGACTGGAATACAATGGTTGGTTGTAGATTGGATAATAAAAAAGGTATATCAATTCTGTAGTAGCTTAAATTGAAAACATCGAAACATTATAAAAATTCCATATAAAATAAAAAATTATATTTTTACATGCATGATTCTATATAAGAATAGTTCAGGTGAACATAAGTGATTATTATTCAACGAAGCTCAATTGCATTTTCCCGGAGGTTGAATGACAGCTTGAACAGCTTGTGTAGCTCGTAAACATTTTAATATTTATGATTTTTTATCTTTAATGATTTGATTTTTTATCTCTCAACAACTATATGATCGATTTCCCCTATTAAATACTGGTGAATCAGTTTATGCAATTAATATTACTCGGAAACAAACAAAACGTACAAAAGATTGGGCAGAAAGATTATGGAATATAATTAGAAATAATGACATAAAGGTGATAATTTGAAATTAATGTGTTAGTTTTAATTTGTACCTGAATTTAGCATTGAGTTGAAAATTTTTATAAATGCTGAATACGTAAGGAATATTTAATATGATAATCCAATTTGTAAACTTATTCTTGTTATATTAAAATTCAACTTTTATGGTGCAAAAAATTATTTCTGAACGAGTCAGAAAATACCAAATCCCTTTCACAATTAGCTCGGAAAATCCTAAATAAAATTTAATCCGAATTCAGACCGTAACATCCAATGTTTGATTAATAAAGATTTTGTTACAGTACGGTCCACCCATCTAATTAGCAATAATAATATTTCAGTATGATAGATGAGGCTATCGCCCGATCCCTTAACCGCACCTATTTTAATAAATGGCACTGAATCAAAACATTTATTTAAACGCCAAGCATCGTTTGAATGAATAGTAATATTCAGGAATACAGAATTATTATTTGTCTATATGATGATAAATAATGCAGAATACACAATGGGATCGTAAAAGAGAGACAGAAATCAAATACAGAATAATTATCGTTCTGATAAATCACTTAGCTTAAAGCCCAATAGCAACAAACTTGCAGTCTCATATTTTTTAAGAGACTTATTTCAAAGCAATTTCTATAGCAGTGCGACATTCACCAAGCTATTTGTGAAAATGTCTAATAAGTTTTCTTTTTAATAAATTCATGAATATTGATTATGAAAATAAAATTGGTGATTGATTATATGATTGATGCTTGATTATAATAAAATAATCGATTGATTTTAATATTGATTAAATGCGGCTTTGGATATGTCAGTGGTTTCGTTAAAAAAATAAGCTTTAGCAAAAATTAAAAAAATATGTGTGCAGTAAATTAGGTGTTTGATGTTGATGTGCCTTCCTAAAACCACCAAATTCTTCCAAATTCTTTTTCTCTTGTGTGAGTGGCTGAAATAAAAAATATCAATCACTGATACAATTTTCTGCTATGATCAAGTATATAGTCCTTCCGTTCTTGTCTTAATAACCTTTGCCTTTCTACTCATGTTTCTCGTGTTTCTAATTATGTATTATCATAATTCATAATAACCCTTAAAAATGACTACATTATATGATACCACAATAAATATTTATATAATAGTTGTTTGCTCAGAGATGAAACTTCCTGTTCCTATTGCGTTTTGTACATATTCAGTATGTAGATAAATCACAGGAATAAATATTAATATGGTCTCCCATATGGGCAAAACAAAAATATAAAAATTGAGGTTTGATGCCGTTGCTCCATACTGAGGAGGCAGTAACTTTCCTTACGTAGCAATAGAAGTGATTGCCTAAATTCGACATGCAACCATTTGATTGCCTCGTGAAATTTTTATGTCGATTGTGTGTTGCCCTGATTGTCCATCGGACGCCCTCATCAGCCTATCATTCAGCCCACTGATGAGTAGGTAAAACAAATGCATTCGAGGGCAAATGTGTTATATATGGTTTACATAAGATATGTTACGATTCTTTACTCATTCTGAGATACTTGACTTTAAGAAAAAAATTCGTGGTGATGGTTTATCCGGTTTATGTTTAAATTAGTATGTATTACGTTTATATACATACTGAATTAATCTTATTAAATTTCAGATCCGCTGAAAATTTCTTGCATTTACTCAAATGTAAAACTTGCTAGTACTTACAAGATACTGATTTTTTTGCTATTTTTAGCTTCAACTATTAAAGTTTCTTTAATCGATTTCCTGTGCATCCTTTCAGTCAAGTAAAAAAGCCCGATATTATGTGACTAAGGCAGAAAAAATATGAGCGATACCCGAAGTCGCATTTTTTAGTAGTTTTAGGTGAAAAATTTCCTCGTTACGAAATTACCTGGCCTCTAGCATGTGGTTAAGTTATTATTTAATTATAGATTCTGTACTTCTGGTTCTGTTTTCTGATCTTATTTGTGCAAGATATACGTAGATTTATTGTAGAAAAATGTTATGAAACACTATTTTTTCCACTGTCTGCTACTCTTCTCCGCTCGTGAGGTATGAAAAGTGTAACTTATACTACCCTTGCAATCATATTGATAATTTTTTTAATCTATAAGAAATATTTTTACGGATATTTTGTATCCAAGGCCAGTAGAAAAATATTCAATTTCATTCGTTATTTCTGCTCAGAATTTTACTGCTTCTAGACATCATACATGTACGAAACAATATATTGCCTGTGAGGACAAAAAAGTAAAAAAATAAACATTGATCGTCTTTAATTGAATTTTAAAAACCTTTCCAGCCCCTAAAAACATTCGAAAACGTCCGTTAGAAAACTAAAGGCGGTAACATTATTTAGCGACGGTTTGTGCACCAAGTATGTTAGCGAAGCAACAGCGACCTTTTAAAAACAAAAAAGAG